TTTTTTCTCTCTTCCACAAGGGTGAGGATGTAATGTGGGGCTTGAGGGAAAGAGACCTACACAGGGCCCAGTTGGGTCTGGAACACCAAGGGAACATCTTAAGTTCTGAAGTATGTGTAGTAATCTACTATTTCACATGTAAATCTACTAAGAGCATTAACATAGCACTGGGCTAGACTACAGACGGTAGGTTTCATAGTGGGGTGTGCCCCTTAATTTGGGATTGCACGTAACAACACGAAGATTAGCTAAACGGTTACAAGCCTTAGTTTCTGATCATTATGAACTGCTGAATTTGAGGAAAACCGGTTTCTTCTCGTTGGATTTACACAAACTATCACTGTTGAGAGTAGCCTACTGTGTGGATGACACATGCAGACAATACACTTCTATTGTATCAATAATTTAGAACTCCCAACATCTTCCTCTCTTAAACTGCTGCTCATCATATGACCCAGGAAGAAGGCTTGTGCATATGACAGCGCTCCAGAGAATGAGTGTTCCAGCACTTTAACGTGCACTCTTCCCCCTACGCTGCTTGTATAATGCTCTCTTTGTCGCCGAGTGCCAACAACACACACACAACACATGTGGCTTGGGCACAAGTGCGTGCACACCCACACAGACAGGGCTCCACTGTATTGGCACTCAATTACCATTGAGTGGAATCAACTCCTTTCAGTGTTTGTGGCTGTGTGTTGTCTTGGCCGTCAGATGAAATTAACTGAAGCACTAATGAACTGTTTCAAATAGGATCATTACATTATAATGACACAGTTAATAATATTGAGGTAACAAAACATGCAGCCCTTTGTGGTAAGAAAAAAAGGCTTTAAATTAAAGCTTGAGGCAATCAAGTGACTTAGAATATGTGCATAGCCATAGGCTGGGCATATTCTCCAGACACACGCAGCTGCTGATAGACCTACTGACGGATGCAGTTGAATTAGAAAAAAAAGTATTCTACAGACATGCCGGCAGCTTTGTGTGACTTAGGCACATTGTTGCTATATGCTAAATGCTAACATAACAACATGCACATAATGAATGCAGTTGGCATACACTGTTTGTAGTTATACCTACGAAAAGTAATACGTAAATACCCCACGTAATCAATTGGTATGGAACCCATGTAATTGTCAGCCATGAGATTATACATAGTATAAAGAGCTGCAAAGTCCATGTAGAAAGGAGGTTGTGGTGGATAGCTGGGTCCAAAAGCAATGCTGATCTATTTGTTACGCGTGTTCGATACTTCAAGTAACTAAGGCGATATTTTACAAGTGGTTTTGTTACGTAACAAAGTACTTATTACAAGGACTCGAAAGGCAACTCATCACTCAATCAGAACTAGATTTCCTTAAGATATCCTACAAATCGTTGTATGACTCGGATACATTGCAAAATGACGATGCTAAAATGTTGATGTTAAAATAAGGTCCATCTTTGTTACATTTGCTTATTAGCGCTGGATATAACTCAAGTAAAAAAAAAGGACGAATCAGGGAAGTCAGTAAGATTCATCCTCTTGTAACCATGAATCCCTATTCAAATTTGCATTGCAATCTAACCAGTCGTTTTTTTTATTTTAGTATTAACCCCGTTTGCCATGTTTTGTGGGTCTGAAAGTTTTGCCATGTCATTACCATTCAAATGTTCACAACCGATGTGTTTATAATTTCTAGAGCACAACATTGTTTACATGAGCACAACGTTTTTCATAGATCTACCCTCCTAATTTTGCTCTCATAGTGCACCAGATTGATGCATACAAAATGTACAAAGTTATCTTTGTAAATGCATGATTTGCGAAGTCAAAGAGTAATCATGTTGATCGTATAACCGAAGTCAGTAAGATTTATCCTCAAGGAAACAACGAATGCCTGTACAAATTTGCATTGGAATCTAATCAGTAGTTAGTGAGATATTTCATTATGGACCAAACTGATGGACTGAGAGCCATCAGATTTTTGTTAAAACGTTTCCGCCCTCCTAATCCTTGTTCTGCATATTAATAGCCATATGTAAATGATCATGATCAGTCTTCTGACATCATATGCGAGTAATATGTGGTTTTAAAGACAACCCTGAGTGGACAAAAGAACTGAGGGAAGTGCTGTTTTTCCACAAGAATTTCCTGCCTTGCCTTTTCCTCTGCTCTGCCGAGACAAGCTACTAAGAGGGGGTATTCCTCTGGGCTTGGTGTAGCAAAAAGCCAAACTTGGCTCGTACAATGTGTTTGTTTGGCGGGATTAATGAGCGTCTTGTCACCCAAATGAGCAGTTTAGGAACCGAGTCTGTGCCCAGCTATTCACGTGCCTCCATTGAGTAGGTAGTGGCTTTGGTGTTGGAGGACATTTAGCATATAAACAGTGTGAGTTTCATGAATTTATACTATTGTGTCACAGTTTACCCGCGTAAAATGCAACTTAGTCACAGTTATTTGTAACTGACGGATTATAGATGAGGGGGATGTGGAGGCTGTGTGTCTGTTTAACTTTTCAACCAATCGCTGTTTACACAAACTCAATAAAAGAACCTGAATATGAACTGCGCAAAGTATGGAAAGCTAAGAAAGATGCTGGTGCATTTGTTTCATTTTGCCCAGATACAAACAGTGACTACTGTAACTTCTTTAGAATGATGCACTCTTGAGATTGACTGAATATGACAGCAAAGCATATTTATTTGATTTACATTGTTATTTTTTCACTAACTTCTATCATAAATAAAAATGTAGCCTACATATATTGCTGAACTTATCACCACATAGCTGTAAAACAATGATTTAATTAAGTTATTTATCATTCGTCACTCATTTTACATACACAAGCTTTGCGATTGTTTGTCATTTACTTGTACAATTTTCTTTGGAAAAGTTTTACTCCAATGAAATAGCTATGTAAAGCATTATTAAAACAAAAGCAAACATTCCCCTTATCCTGAGCATCAAACGCCTGGTCATATCTTCTAACATTGTTTATTTATTTTTTGATCAGATATTTTCCTTATCTTCATTTGTAAATGTGGGTAACAGTCATATTTGCTTTGTGGGTGTGGCTGTTTTATCATGTCATCACCATTCATATGTATACAGCCAATGTGTTCATGACTTGATTGTTTACAAGAGCACAGTCAGAGCACACCAGATGCATTTAACTTGAAACATTTACAAAATGATCTCAAGATTGACCGATAATGATAGTGACTATGATTCCTGCCATAACCGAGCAGTCCTGATCAGTAGCAAAACACATTAATGCCATATCCTGAAATGTAATTGTTCATTCAAGTTCCTATATGAATTGTTCAGGAGCTGATCTCTGCTTTAGAGAGGGTGTACAGTTGCAACCTATGACATCATGCCAGCATAAGAATACCACAGAACACACCCATGAGGGTGCAGGTTGCCTGGCAGAGGAAGAGCTAGTTGTGTAGGAGACGAGGTATACAGTCTATGGGTATTTCCCACACAGCAGGGAGAGGAAGCAAGAGCAATGTAAGCCCCATAACATACCAATGGAAAATCTCATGTGCACCGGTCCATCTGAAAGCTTTCGCAACATGCTACGACATGACATCAATTATTCACACACACCGCTCTGTGACCTGTTGCACCTGTCATTCAACATTTAGCTGTTAAGTCAAATGTCAACGACTCGGGAAACATTAAGGAGTGGCAAAAACATGTGCACACTTAAAGTGGCGCATTTGCATCCTATTTGTCTTGCAACCAATCTCATCATCACCTGTATCATCCTAAATCACACTGACTGGAGGCAGCCTGTAACTTGGAACTTTAGTTGAGAAAATAACTCATCACAAACGGTACCCACTGATGTGTGTACAGGAGCAAAGCTGAGAGTTATGTGTGCCTGTCGTACCAAGGACTTAACACAAGTTTAAAGTCTGTGCATTCAACATTTAACTCTAGATGCCCACTGTGGAACAATAGCTGTTTTTATACAGTATCACCAAAACGTTCATACAGTGCAGTGAAGGTCAGTAGGGGCTAGCAGCAGCTCAGTATACAACCACTGCTTTGACACCTCTCCATCAACGCATACTTTGTGCATGTGTGTATTCCAGGCCTAGTGTGTCTCCGTTCTACTTGTGCATGTATGTATGTATTTGAGCTGTAACTGTAGGTTAACAACAGAGTGAGAAATTAATCTTCCCTGAAGTTCCCTCAGGGATTTATTAAGCATGCCTTCTTCTTCCAGTAGAACTAAAAACACCATTGACTTATAATGAAAACACACACATCTTAAAATCAGACCCAGTGTGCTAGTGTCGACCTATGTGAATGTGTCACTGTCCAAAATTAGACTGCACTGTAGAGGTGGAGTAATGTAGAGCGTGGCAATAGCTTGTAATAAATGTGCGTTCATTGCAACCATCCTGCAAGCATATCACTAACTGGTTTGCATATCTGAGGCTTGACTTGAATACATGTGGATGCTTTCAATCTGGCGCGCATTGACTGCAATCCCAAATGTGATACGGTATCCTCATAGGGTGTCCATAGAGGCATGGACGTGCAGCTAAAGTACAGTGTGTGCTTCACATGTCATGTTTGCGCTCCAATTGTAAGATCTGGATCACATACATGGCGATCTTTATAACCTCTTATGACACTGAATGGACCCGCCGTTCAGGAAATGCATTGAAACCATCAATATGTAATTATTTAGAAAAGTTTGAAGTTTCTATTCCCTCAATTTTCCTACGTTAAATGCCCCAGTTAGTTTCAGCAACCACTTGAGGAAGTGTAGTTCTCCTTTGAGAATGAAGTGTGTGGGTATGTCAAAACAAAAAATGAGCGTTTATATTTCATAGAGTATATTCGTGATTAATGGGATATATATAGTTGATAAGCACCGCGACAGAGAATTGCCAGATTTATAAATTGGGTTTGTAATCTTTGTATACCATAATACGAGCCTTTAATCTGTAATCCGGGTTATAAAGTAGTTTGGCAGTGTTTTGGTGAAACCCACCTCCTCTGTGTGTTTTCTCAGCGCCTTCTCTCGCTCGTACTGGGTGACGAGTTGCTCGTTGTCCTCCTTCAGCAGCTCCAGCTCCACTTCGTGATCCTGGTTGACAGCGAACACCGAGTCCAAGTTCTCCAGCACGGCGACCACCAGCGGCATCAGCTCCTTCACTACATCCTCCCCGTATCTCTCGATAAGCCGTTCAAACTCTCGGTATATTGAACTTGCCAGACCTGAGACCCGCTCGGACATCATGGTGGAGTTTCCCGAGTCGTCCTGATACAGGACTACGTCGTCCAGCTCCATTTTCTTGCCTCCACTTCTTTCCCAGCTAACGTTAATGAGCTAGCCGCAAGCTTCAGCTGGCCAGAGGCTGTCTGCCTTGCTACTTTAGCGCAACAAAACGGTGTTTCTAAAACATAGTTTGAGTGTTGTGTACTGTACAGAAGAGACACTGTACTTTATAAACAAAGTCTGTACTCCTCCTTATTCAACTGGACGGCTGACTCTGATAGCTTGCTAGCCTGGGAGCTAGCAGCACTGAAAAGTCTTCACTTGGCTCCTGATTAGTTTCCCTGTCCAACAGATGAGCTCCTGATGCTGCCTTCAAGTGCTGTCGGAAAAATTGAGATGGACGAATTTAAGCGACATATGCAATTAATAAATATGCCCACTGCAAATACAATGTCGGATTCTAATTTGTCTCGGTTTTGACCAGATAAACAAATACATCTGGATGTCCAATTTGGCAAAACGCCAAAGCCAAAAGTGCACCAAAAACAGCAAAAGCACTCCAATGTTGTAAAAGTATTGAACAACTACAATAATACAATGTAGTAAATAAGTGGCAAGACATACATGTACACTACCAGATCATACATTGTTGTTGAAGCTAAAAAGAATAATTTCATGTGTCCTGTTTATATATAGTTGCTATTGTGTGACGTCTAAGGGGCGGAGAACAAACCTTATACAAACCTTATACAACCCTGATTATAAAATCCTATCTTATAACGGCTTATTTGTTACTATATGTTTATTTACTGAGGTAAGGATAACGTCAGGTGATGTTTTCTTAATAATGTAATGTTCCCGTTTTGTCAGATTTATTTCAAACACAAATTAATTTCCCTGGTTGACTGGACATTCCCCTTTTATTTTAAAGTTGCAGGGCAAACAGAGGAGCCTAGTTATGCAGCCGTGCCATTTTTTTTTCTTACATACATTTAAAGACAAAAGTAGAAATATGTTGTTGAGCTAACTTTGATATTTTACATTCGGTCAGCACTGCCATTGACCGTGTCCCAGTTCAGAAACGGGAATTTCCGAGCATCACTTGAAGAGGTCATGAGTTGTTGACGGGACGTCGCCTTACGTCACATGCTAAAGAGAGCTGATGAAGGATAGTCAAAACTGAAGCTAATTGTTAGTGTTATTCATTGGAGACATTTGATAATTAATTACACTCACTCTCATCGCCTCATATGGCTGACTTGCTTTCAGTTCAACAACAGTTGCCAGTGCTGAGAATAGTACATGATTGTATTTCACCTTTTATAGTGTAAAACAAATTAAAGGATGCAGAGTGTGCTTTACAAGTGTTTTAATTTATATCAAGAATTTCAATTCAATTTACTGTGAATATGAAATTGTTATGCAAGCATCAGTTGATTCAACTTTATTATATATTACCTGAAAAAAATATGTAGTATTCACAGCAAGTAAACAGGTTCTCAAGTAATGTACAATCGCTCTACATTACATTATTACATTATATGTTACTTAATACTGTGGGCAATCCCCACAGGAGCAATTTGGGGTAAAGTGTCTTGCCCAGGGACACGACATGCTGACTGCAGTGGGGTTCGAACCTGTGCTCCCCTGATCCCAACACCAAGGCTCTATCCACTGCGCCCCACTGCGCACACGCCTCCAAAGTCTGTACCTGTTGCATTAAATATCTTCTGCCGTACATCATGCACTATTGAAACTGCATTATAGTGAACGCAGAACAGAACTTATTGTAAACACTCACCTCTGTCTTTTTTTTTGTAAAGCAATTCTGTTGACTTATTTTTCTGTGATGCTTAGGCACTGATCACCCTGATGTTTCGAGACATTAAACACAACACATACCAAGCACAGTTACTATACAATGAGGAGGTAATGCTTTAGTCCAGGGTAGAAGTTACCCTTGTATCCTCACATCCTGGATCAAAGCTCTCCAAAGATCAGGAAGACAGCATGTGACACTTACAGTGGCCATGGGGGCCTGTGTCTACCATTAACAAAAACATAAAATGTAGAACAGACATTACATTAAAACTGCAGCACTGGCAAATATGGTACACAACGCACATTCAAAGATCATGGCATAAAGTAGCTCACGCAGTAACTCAGGGATTTGAAATAAAACAAATGGAAATGAATAATTAAAAGTGCAATTTAGCAAGGTACTTGTTCATTCATGAAGCTCACAGCAGGTAAATCTCGATGGTTTAAGTATTCCGTTACCATTACAATCCATTTTTCAAATGTCTTTTAGAGAAAAGGGGCTTCAGGATTAAACCTGAAGACAAGATGCAACTGAATAGCAAGAAAGTATTTGAAGCATGGAGGAAAACGTAAAAAACTGAAGTGTGCTTAAAGTACTGTAAAGTCTGGGAGCTCAGTCTCTTTGACACGTTTCAGACAGTGTTGTGATTGGTGTTGTTTGAAGACGACGGGCAGAGGGAGAAGGGCCGGTCCCTGGTCAGACTGGTGAGTGCTCGGAGCATGGCGTCGGGCATGTGATCTGCCAGCATCCTGGGACTGATCAAAACACTCCTGAATGACATTTCATTGGACCAGTCTGCGCGGTACCGGACCTGGGAAAAACAGGATCTGAGGGAAAAGAGAGAAATGAGAATTTTAGAGGCAAATCCATCTCACAATTTGCATTGCAAAGAGTCTTGGACAACGTTCCACCCAACACTGATACAAATCTGGTGGTGAGGTAGTGCAATATGTTGATATAGAGTGGTTGCAGGGCCGTTTCTTCCTATAGGCGGACTATGCAGATGCATAGGGCCCCCGCGGCCACTAGGGGGCCCCCAAGCTGAAAGTTCAGGTTCAGCCTCAATATATTTGGGGAGAATTCAAATCTTTATTTGTAGACAGCCAAGCCCCCTCCTGTGTTCGTGACGTAGAGGAGCCTTATTGTGTACCTTTTTAATATCATTTTTTGTAAGTTTCAATTGCTTGGTTTTTGTGAAATTAGCCTGTTTTCCTCTTCTTTTTTTTAAAACTTTAAAACATTATTTATTTTCCTTTTGCATTGCATCACAAGAGGCCGCAACAAATATGGGGGGCCATTTCTAAAAAATGTTGCTCTCAGTTTGTTTATTCTTCGTATCATATAGTCATTATCAATTATCCGGTTACCTCGAGGCCTGTACTACGAAGCCGGATCTTCTCTTAGCCGGCTGACTTCAGGGAAAACTCGGGCTTTCCGGTCCTACGACACTGGTTCTCTTTTTAGCGGGCTAGATCTCCATGGTAACTTATGCTGAGCGGCTAACCTGCTCTGGAGCAGGTTAGGTGGCAGGCTAAGAGATCAACTCAGTGAAAGCACCGCCTGCTGACCAATCAGAGCTCCGTGTGCGGAGTTTAAAGCGATCAAGTCATATTACAGGATAGAGGAAATACAGAAAAACTGCCATTGCAGGAAAGACGGCCGGCAAAAATCAACTGACTGTGTGAACGTGAAAATGAATAGAATATCCCCTCCCATCTTCAGAGCAATCTGACTATTATAATATTAGCGTTAAGAAAGCTTACTTAAATATCTGCCATAACATAAGTAGCTCAGAGTAACATTAAGTACAGTCCGCGGCACTGTGAGTGCAGACGTCGATGTGTCCCATTATCATTCATATCATATCACATCATAATGTATCATATATTTCCTTATCTGAGTCAGCTTCTTGAGCCGTATCTGGCCGTGCAACACTCACAGTGTCACATACTGTATGCAGAAGTATTATTTTAAGCAACACATTAAGTTGACGAAACACTCGAGTCAAATGTAATTAAAGTCAGATCCACTCGTGTCTTGGACGGGGCAGTGATTTCATAAACCTGTTAATGTACGCATTCAAACACTTTCTCTGTTACCAGCTGTATTCACCTTGCAGGTGCAGCTATGTGGCTTTTATCCTGGGTAAAGTGTTTAAGTCATGGATGTTTAAAGTTTAACTTCTTCATATTTGACTAATATTAAAGTTCACTTTTCATTCAGGAAGTATGACGCTGCGCTGTCAGTACGCTTGTCCATGTTTGTGATTGGTCGAATGCTCCAAATACCACCCCTTTCATGTGAACGCGCACCTAACTAGATAGGACACGGCGGCTTGAGCGATCCACTTGATAACCAGCGTCGTAGTACAGTTTAGCCAGAGCGCGTATGTTTTGGATTGGGCCAACCGGCTAACTCAAACATATCCAGGTTAGGAAAATCCGGCTTCGTAGTACAGGCCTCTGAGCTTACCAGCTCATAGGAGACCATTAAAGTGTCCATGATATCTCAGAAACTGGTTCCTCCCAAAATGTCAAAATATCTGTTATGTAAGGCATGGATAATAAATGAAAAAAATACATCTTTTAAGAACCATCCACAGGGGTAGATTGCAATGCATCAAAAGACAAATATGCATTAGATATGAGGATAGGCGGGGCATTTCCCTTTATCCCACTGCATATCGGCTGTTACTCAGTTTTTGGCAAATTCTGCAACAATAGTCGAGGAGTTGAGTGTTTGAGGGGCTTGGGCTTAAGTTGACAGTGGAGCGACGGTTGGAGAGAGTGAATAGGCACCTAGTTTAAGCCTGTTTTCCTCTTAAAGTGTAAGAGATTGATGCATCTCCACGGATCATCTAAAGGTTTCGGAATCCCCCCATTGTAGTTAAAAAACTGTAAAAACTAGGGCCGCCAAACAGCATCTTGCATGGGGCCCCCAAAAAGCTAGAAACGGCCCTGAGTGGTTGTATTGTTCATTTGAGCGCCAGCAAAGTTGCTGAAATACACAAACAGTTTAATTTAAAATGGCAGTCAACATATGTCACAAAATTAGCATCAACTTATTTTTAAGAACTGAAAACAGCAGAAGAAAAATCAATGCAGTTAAAAAGGTGTGTTGATGTGTCTACTGAAAGCAGCGGTGAGATTAACACCTACGTCACTTCCGGGTGAAAATTACGGCTCGCCCACTTTTTGGGGAAAAACAACGCTGTCATTTGAATGGCGGTCAATACAAATTCTGAAGTTTTTGCCAATCCGATAAGCATTTTTTGAAAACCGTGGATTTTTGGATCTTCAAAGAGCCCGATTACGATGGCCAGTCAGGCAAACAATTACATTAAATCATTTGAAATCGACGATCGGGCTTGGCCGTAAAGTGACGTAGATGTTACTCTCATCAATGGACATCGATCGCCTACCGCTATATTTAAAGGTCCCATGTCATGCTTTTCCGGTTATTACCCATCCCCTTGTGTGTTATGTAGCTTCTTCTGCATGTAAACGGTCTGCAGAGTCACAAACCCTCAAAGTACACCCTGTAGCGAGTAAAACTCTAACACAGAAAAGATCTGTCTATGCTGCCCCAGAACGCCTCGTTGGACATTTTTCTTTTTCTATTTTTTTCTTCCTGGTCATAGTGATGTAACTGCTCCGCGGATTGGTCCATTTCTTCACACACACACACACACTCACTCAGCCTTATCTTTTCTCAGCCGCGGCTCCGCGGATTTCCGCAGACACCACGCAGCAACCAGGAAATGACACCAGTAATCCAGCTCACACTGTCCGCTCCTCGAGCCTCAAAGGGCGGGGCAACGAGCCCCGCAACATCCCAGACCCCACGCAGCATTCTCATCTGTTTGTCATTGCTGGTGTCATTTTCTGGTTGCTAACGCCATTGTAACACATACACACTGATGTTCCGCTGTAACGGTGGTGGACTCATCAGGACAGAGTGGGCGAGCTGACCAATCAGAGCACAGTGGGCTCATAGGGAGGGGCGGGCAGGAGCTCCAACAAGCCGTTTAGGACAGAGAGTGAATACACATACTTTACAGAGATGCTGTATGAGAAACCAATGTGAGTTTGGAACATTGAACAATGTAAATCTATTCTAGTAGACCTCAACAATGGAATTATGATCAGTAGAAATGGCCATGTCATGGGACCTTTAACCATATATCGAGCCCGATCGTCGATTTCCAATGATTTAATGTAATTGTATGCCCGTCTGGCCAATGTAATCGGGCTCTTTGAAGATCCAAAAATCCACGGTTTTCTTACATTTCTGATCGGATTGGCAAAAACTTCAGAATTTGTATTGATCGCCATTCAAATGGCAGCTTTGTTTTCCCCCAAAAGTAGGCGGAGCCGTAATTTTTGCCCGGAAGTGACGCATGTGTTACTCTCATCTATTAAGTATTTACAGCTGTATTAATGTATACACTTTATTGAGCCAGGTGGTATCTTAAGTAAGGGATAATGTGCAGCGAGGAGGTCATTATTTAAAAAAAGAAAAAAGAAGACCAGACGGGGATCATGAAGCTTGATCGGCCTGAAGGGTGTTCTCATTCCAATAATGACTGCCACGCTACACATTATCCCGCTTATTACATGGCCACACACTCAATCAACAAATAACTTGATTCACAATATTAAATTAAAGTGATTTTGTTAACTTAAAAATGATCGTTTTGCTCCTGCAAAAACACAAATCTGTTGAATAACACACTGCTTTACACAAACTTAAGAGATCTTAACAGTTTGTTCTACGATATTCCTCAGTACCCCCAGTCGTTATTAAAGTTAAACATGACTTAAAAAGGGGCGATTTCCAAGAAATTGCTCAATTCTGCCTTTGGTTAATTGGTTGTGACATGAAGTCAATTGTAGTCAATGCAGTTTGTTTAAAACCTAACTTGTCACCATAAAAGTTGCGTTAAATTGTAAAGATCATCTATCTGAACAAAGCGCTTGACGATCATAAATGTGTGTTAGCCACAGAACTTATTTTCAACGTCATTCCAAAATCCAATAACAAAATCCTATGCGCTCTTTCTAAAGGGAACCAGTTTGATGCTAACTTTAGGGGTTGGCCTACAAAAAGATGTCATCCCTGCACCACTCTGCTTAGGTTAGATCTGGGGAAGTCAGAGATTACAAATATTTGTAGACAAACCTCCGTGACGGCCCATCTTCTGTGATGTACAGAATGCGTCCAGGCAGGAAGAGAGGTAAGTGGGTAGCAGTATGAGCAGGGGACTCGTCCGACGCCAGGCTCTGATAGGATGATGAGTGGCGAATCATCAGTGACTCCTCCCCCAACAGAGGCTGGCTAAGCTCCTCCTCCCTCCTGTTGTCCATCTCAGTGGGGAAGTCATCAGGGTCTCCTCCGAAGACCTCGTACCAACACCCCTGCAGCAGGATGCGGTACTGAAACACACATCAAATATGTTAAAAGACTGACCTGACCTACGAGACATTTAGCACTCAATTCATGGCTTTGAATGGTTCTTACCTTGGGCTTATTGCAGTTTGAAACTACTTTAAGAATCTTTCTCTTCAGATCCTCCATATTGGGAAGGCTCAATCTGTACAAAAAGAACAATGATTAAGAAAGAATGGGAATATTACAAAGGAAAAACAGTATCAACAACTAGAACTACCGCCTTATGCATGTATGCCTCAATTATCCCATAAATTATTGAGTTATGGCTGAGAATGTATTTGTTTTTATGGCCAAAGAGATATTGACTTTTGACAAGTTCTATCTAATCAGTTTATCGTTATGTACAAGTGGATTTTGTGCCAAAATAAAATAAATTCCATCCAGGCGTTTCTGAGAATGGTCCAGAAGAACAGACAAATGTAGAACATTTATTTTAAATAAGTAGCGTGTAAGTTGCCTCTAATAACAGGCACAGTGCTCTATAATAGTCATCACCACACATTCACATTGGCTTTTGGAAAACAAGTGTCTGCAGTGCTGCTGACAAACATATATTTACCTTCTGGGATCCACTGGAAATAATGTCTAAACCAAACAGCTACAACGATTTAACCAGTATCAAAATATATGTTTTATATTTTATAAATTGAAACTTTGATTAAACAATATGTTCTTAAGGCTAAGAAGTCAATAATAGCCATTAGTTACCTGGGAACCAGATCCTTTCCCAGCACAACGGACACCACAAAGTCCTTGGAGTAATCAGCTAAGGCTTTGCTGCATAAATAGAAACACAGAACAGAAAACGCATTACATTAGTAACATTTTGAACAGCTGAGAGTTCTCTATGTGAAAAACAGCCATATTTAAGTCAGACCAATACAACCAAAGTCAAACAACAAGGACTGAAACTTCACTGATAGTTTAAAAGTTAAAACTTTTCACATTCTTTTATCTATATAATACATCATTATAAAAAAAGACATCATAATCTCCTGTCCTGTAGCCATTTATAAGAAATATGTAACTAATGACTCAGAATTGAGTAACCCTTCAAAGCCAGGGGACCATCCCAGTTTTATGGGCTGTCATCTGTTTGCCAAACTGTTGCTGCCATGGTTACTGAATAGTTTCTTACCTCAGCAGGCCCCCTGGTGGAGAGAATGAGTAGCACTGCAGGGTGGGGAAGGAATTGCGCAAGAGGATAGCCAGCAGAGACGCTGTGCCAGCACCCAGACTGTGACCTGTGATGACCAGCTTGTACTCCTACAAGGAGAAAGGAAACACTTATAGGATTACAATAAATGGAATGGATATGGAGAACTGTGTAGAAATCAATGTTGTTTTTCCTAAAAATGAAATCTCATTCCCTCCAGATACGATTGGCAGAAGGAAATGTAATGGTGCATTCTGTGGCTGAAATGTAGTTTCCAAACTGAAATCTCCTTCTTACTGGTGCTATGGAGAAAGCCTGGTTTAGGATGCCATCGTTGACCAGCTTCTTGTAGATGTAGCCTGCCGCTTGACACATGCCCTGAGGGAACACAGCAGCATTAATCTCTACTGAACTGAATAAATGAAACCTTTAGTGCTTCTAGGAGAATTCGATTTGCAAAAAGAGCATACAATTATATCAAAATAACAGTAACAACCATGCATGACAACGTATTATACTACAGCATACTAGCATCATTTGGGAAATCAATAAAGACCCAAGTGCAAGTTTAAGATCAGAGCTAAATGCTGAATAGTGTGTGGGACAAAGATCTTGTGGTCCCTTAAGTCTGCATTTATACCCTGGATGGAGTTCTTATAAATAATGCTAGCAGTTCTTTCCACATTAAGGCTTCTAAGTGTCCCTAACAAACGTGGTTGAGCCTTGGCAAACCTAGCATTGGTGATAGCGTTGCATCTCAGTTTGCTTTCAACAATAGTGCCCAATACTTTAAAATGTTCTCGTACATAATTAAAGGGAACAGAGGATTTACTGCTAAAACCAATTATCATTTCTTAATTTATTTTTCGTTTAAAATCTATTATCAGAACACCAGTACTAAAAGTGGGTAATCTAAACTCTGTCAGTTTGTGTTTAAAACACATGTTACACATTAAAAGCTTTTGAAAGGTGGCGTGTTTAAATGTCGTTCACCTTGTGAGCGTAGCAGGATCCCAGCACTCCCTCTATAGGCAGCTTCTCACATTCAGCAGACAGGTCTGTCAGCACATCCTGCAGGACACACAGAGGGAAATGAGCAAGACATTGGTCTCAGACCCCATGTTAAAGACTCTGGGAAAGGAATGAAATGCTTGATGGTTGATTTAAAGCTTGATTAAGAATGAATGTTTAAGTCTTGTGGACGAACACAAGCAGAGAGACTATAATATTCCCCAACCAAATCATCACAATAATTCTGTCTCTGACTTCCAATGTGAAGGTGTGTAGACATGTGTTAACACTCTCATACAAGTGTGTCATTAACTTACCACATTGAGGGTTTTATTTTTTAGAGAATCTATTACATGCCATTAAAAATAGACCAACTATCACCTTATCTAGGCCCTTTTTGTTTTTTGTTTGATGTATATATGTCACACTGTAGGACTGCGGGAAACGATATCTCGATATTTCTGGATGTACAACATGTAGAATTATTGACAATAAAGCTGACTTTGACTATATGTAGCTGTGGCCTTTAACACTCCTCTGTCACCTACAATACCATCTGGGGTACAAATGGGCAAGTCATTCTGTAAATTAACGGCAAATGGTAGGGTAAAAAACAAAACAAAAATCGCATTACTTTATTCATGTGCACACATGGACAGAAACTAGTTCATTGTTCGGCATGTCATATTTAATGTAGTAGATTATATTATTTGCACATTTTAAATAACAAATTGAAAAGGAGAAAATGAAAACCATCCAGGACCAACACTATGTGTGTAACAGGAAACACAAGAATGAAACGGGGAGAAATAACAATCTAATATATTAGCAAGCAGCTGAACCACTAATGATTTTTCTTTGTCTATCATTGACCAACAAATGTAGGATTTGGGAGTCCAAACTCACCTTCAGAGACAGAGTTCCTCTGACAGCCACCAGAACAGCCTCTCTCTTGTGATCCAGGGCAACATAAAACGGGATCTCATAGATCTGCAACAAAGACAATTCAGATGACGTTACATCGCTGAGACTGTTGGATAGGAGTTGATGACCTAAAACAATCCATCTGAGGGAAACTATGAACACACAGGAGTATGTCTGACAGGGGAACATGTGAGATCTGTACCTGGTTGTGGAAGCTGACGTAGATGAAGTCTCTGTACTGTAGACCTGTGCTCTGCAGGATGGAGGAGAAGTGGCAGCCGAGGTGGTCTCCTCCAACGATGTCATACTCAGCCTCACGGCTTCTACAGCTGATCACACACACACACACACACACACACACACACACACACACACACACACACACACACACACACACACACACACACACACACACACACACACACACACACACACACACACACACACACACACACACACACACACACACACACACACACACACACACACACACACACACACACACACACACACACACACACACACACACACACACACACACACACACACACACACACACACACACACACACACACACACACACACACACACACACACACACACACACACACACACACACACACACACACACACACACACACACACACACACACACACACACACACACACACACACACACACACACACACACACACACTTTTAATCTCAATGTGGTCAAAAAATATAGGTTTTTTCTCTGACTCTGAAATCTAGATGTCTACACCTAGGAGAATATTGGGCTTTAGATTTCAGTTCATCTTTTTTCTCTATAATCAGAAGAAAATGCTTATTGCTGAATTATTTTGCAGAAATTGAATAGTGAAAGGACTTTAGAACTATATTTTCATTGATGTATAGCTTCTGCTTTAATGGAGGAAAGCAGCAATGAGGTGAGGCAGTCATAGAATACCAGCATCGGTAAACATAGATAAGATTGTCGTTCAAAATTTTAAATATTTAAACTTTCCGCCGTACTCTGCAATGGAATTTACAACCTGAAGTTAGGTAGCTCACTAAGCTGAGGAGAAAACAAGGGGGAACAGGAAGCTTTTTCATTGTTGTGCAACACCCCAATGATCAGTGCTTGAAATCCTTCCATGATATTACAAGAAGCTATATGCTATAAAGAGTAATCACATTTTCTTTGATATATCCATTATTTTTAAACAATGAAACATCACCATGGCAAATTATATTAACGCGTGTTCTGCTGTCTTGCCATTGCATCACACTGATTGGATGTTTTCTTTCTGTGCTGGCAGGAAGTGTTGTCTGTCTTCTGTCTGCCCGAAGCCATGTGAACACAGCATTACAATCATTCCTTTGAATCTACATTTAGAGCGGGCTTTTTAGATGTTCTTCTTCTTCCTTTTGCACCAGCATGTGAGTACAGTAGCCCAGAGAGGAAAAAACTAACTCTGAGTCTGAAGGCCTGACAGCTACACACTTGTCCTTTAACCTAACCTGGCTACCTGTGTGACTTCTCTGACAGGTCCCACTGACTCCGATAAGTAAAGTCTCAATCTTACCAGTCTCCACTGAGTTTGCAGGGCCCGGTGAGGGGATTGGAGTAAATGTACATGGGCCAGCCATAGGCAGCTGCAGCAAACTGCATACAGTGAGCTGCTTTCTCCAGCTCTGTCTCCAAATCTTCTCCCTATGAAGAATAAACGATTGTCAATAAGAACATTATTTAAAAAAACTTCCATGACTGAAACAAATAGTGTGTCCTGCTCATTGTGCTGTTGTGACTACACGAGGGTCAGACTTACGATGGGAGACGAGGGGCTGTGATCCACCATGATGTCTGGGTCTCTGCTCTGCTCCATCTTATCCTGCTCCTGGTGCAGCAGAGCCAGACCAGCTGCGATGTCACTGGGGACCAGGTCTGTGTCCTGCAACACACACACACACACCAGAAATCATCTCACTATTGGTTTTGTAGCTACATCACACCAGTGTATCATAGCCAGCTTTAGTCTTTCTTGTGGTATTCTAATATGTCATCTGACTTGATGCAGTTTGCCTCAAACCCTCTAACTTCCAGGGGCCACATTCATAAAGCTCCTGGTAAAAAGAGTTGCTCCAAATTATTAAATGTTAAGAAAATGATGATTAGTATTACCAGGTTTTCTAAGGATTTTCCCTTTGAGTTAAGACAACATCCTGGTTAAAGTGGACCTATCATGCTATATTTGAAACATATATTGTAGGGCCATACCTATACAAAACATGTCTGTGACGTTTTTTTTCAAAATACCAAACAGTTCCCCCATTGTAGCCATGCCTCATACTGCTCATACCCCTCTTTTGAAGCCGTTAGAGAAACGCGGATCTTGGGTCCTTAGTTCGAAAAAAAAGAAGAGGAGGCGGAGCTAATGCCTGATCAGAATTCTACCGGAGATAAAGTTAAATTCTGCTGTGATAAAACGCCATCCTGTTTAAACCACGTCAAGGATTATTTCTGAAACAGTTTGGAGCTCAAATGCTTTTTCTCTTGCGGGTTTATCACAAGGTGAGTTCCTTTTTTTATTTCCTGCTTTTTAAACACATGTGCTCTACAGTACAGGTTAGCTCTGAGTGTTAGCGAGGCTTGCTAATGTAAACAAAGACGAGATTACGTCCAAAACACGTCAGGCATTGTTTCTGATAGCAACTTTCTGTGGGTCCGCTGCTGATTTGACGTCAAATCGGATGGAATCTGTATCCGCTCGTTGTACACCCGTTTTTAAAAGATTTGGGTATGGAGGAAAAGAGAGAGGGTTTTATTTTCTGACGCTGCGTGAGTTCCCCGACACACCGGGGACACATATGTATGTATAAAAGACATCACAAAGTGCATTTTGCATGATAAGGTTAAGAACTATTAGGACTAGGGAGGAGGGCTTTGAAGAGGCTTAAGAGTTTCTTAAGCAGAAGAGAAAGGACTTGTTTGCTGGTTTATGGGAGATGTGCATGCCGACCAATGCCGCTAGCTATATAGATTGTTCACAAACACAGAATTGATGAAAGCTAAGCAGGTTTTCTGCTGCTAACTGATTAAGTATTCAAAGTACCAGCATGGCTTAGGAAAGATATACATGTCAGCATTTGAATAGGTTACTGTGTGCCTGTGTTTTTAAAGAAAAACATATTTTGTAGGCTACTTTCTCAGTATGGCCATGACGTATTCAAAATAATTTCTAAAAAAGAAACCAAATTCTATAAATACGCCTATCAATTTCAGTTTTTATTCTATTCCAATTATCACTAATAGGGCTTTTTTTTATGAATCAAACAGTTTTATAAAAATAATGTGTTCATACCTAGCAAAGGGGTCAGCCACACCTCCTCACTAAGATAAAAGAGTTTGTCCTTTCTTCCCTCAGAGTTGCTGTGAGAATTTCCTCAATCACTCCTAAGCCACTCCTGTTGGACTAAGTTAGGATCTCTCTTAGAGTATACTCAATATGTTTTTACATGTGAACCCAGATTTAAAGACAAGGACAAGGACAGACAAGAGGGAGAAGCTGTGTCTTACGGAGAAGAACCCCCCGACGAGCTGTGCGATGCTGGAGAAGGCCGCCCGGTGGCTCTCGTCCTGCGGCAGGCAGCAGCAGAGCAGCCTCAGCCGGCTCTCCCACACCTTGACGGCCAGGGAGCGAGCGGTGGACAGGAACTGCGTGCCCTCGGTGCTCTGCTGGTCTCTGACTCCCAGAGGCTCCATGGCAGAGTGCTGAGGACGGGGGTTTCCCAGCGGGTCAAACACAAACACAACGCCCAACCCGGTGAACAGCAGGATGATCCAGCTGTGACACAGGAAAAAAAGTTCATACAGCTTATTAAAGTATAGGTAAGAACATTTCGGGCACTTTCAAGATACCTTAACCAAATCCCTTATCATCACATCTATATTGCAACTTTAAATGTGGCTGAGAAAAATGAAGGTAGCATAATAAATGTACACACAGCCATCAATGTATGTTGTAACTTTGTCCTACTATTCAAATATGGTGTGCAAAGGATCAAATACCAAAGTTCCCTCCATTGGGAGTTTCTCTACCACACACCCCCCCCCCCCCCCCCAGCCTGAAACTGAACTGTTTAGCAAAAATATGTTGTTTACTAACTGTTTTTTATTAAATAAACTAAAGACAACTTTTAAAAAACAGTTGTCTCTCTTTTAAATCGGCTAGTGAGTACAAATATTTTGTGGGTTTTACAATTGAGTTTCTCCGGGTTATTAAATGTTTGTGTTACTTTACTTATCCCTTCCTTAAGTTTTCCTCCCTTTCCATACGTTTTGGGTGATTTATCATGTTCTTTGATTACGATTATTTAATGTCTAGCTAGCTCCAACCCGCTCCGTGGCTGCATCTCAGGTCGGTTAAATGGATTCCTTGCGCCCCTCACTTGCGTCGTTTCCCTGCGTTTAGTCCCTCCCACCAGGGAAGCATGGAGAGACGCAAGGAAACCACGAGAAGCAGGGAAATTAGTTTTAAGAGCAATGGGACGTCCTTTCCTCCGGAGCGTCACGTGAAGCGACGTCCGTTTGTGATGACGCTGCACAGCTGATCGTCTAACAGCAGCCAGATCAGTGCATGCGCTGCATCGTCCAATCAGTGAGCGAGCGGGGCGAGTGTCTGAGGATTTCACAGGAGGATGGTCTGGTAGTTCCTCGATTATCGCTCCTCCGTTATCACTCCTCGGTCCTCGATCCTCGGGCAAAAATAAGGCCACTGGGACGCTACTCAAGATGGCGCAGACAAATCAACTTCCGGTGATACCGAGCCCGAGGAGCGAGGAAATGAAAAAGAACCGAAGTGAGACGCACCCCATGTCTGGTGTGAGGTGCAAGGAAATGACAAACCAATATGTCAACAGGTTTTATTTTAAATATTAAAATAATTTTGCTTTACATGAGTGTCGATGAAACACCAGATTATGTTGAAAATGTTCAAGGAGTATATTCAGAGTTCAGCATATTCTAAATCATAAAGGTTCAAATAAAATATGATATCAACTGTTTGAGATAATAACTGTTTTGTATTATCTACCATTTATGTTCTTGCTGTTTTGTATAGAGTAATGTTATCATTATTTAGTGTCTGTCAGTATATATGTTACATATGTAGTTTGATGCTTTTGTTTTGAAGATAGCTTCAGCTGATTTGGGGCGGGGTGATTGCGGTATTTATTGCAGACAGGTGGAGTGGGGATTTGGGCACCGAAAAGGCAAATGTTTTTTACCGTGGGGCACGAATGCCATTTGTATTGTACTTTTATATTGTTTTCAAAGTTTCTTTCGTTTGTTTTTAATATGAGGACAAATCACCGCTTTATCAAGTTTAAAGAACCCTGAAAGAGGCTGAATCAAAACACCTCTGCGAACTATAAAACAATGAATCTTTGAAATCGTAACCCTAAACCACCTACCTGGCTATCACTGCTGTGATGACAGCCCCCACTGTGGCTGGATCGCAGCCTTTGCTGTCTTCAGACACCCACATGGCTCCCAGACAGGCCCACACCAGCTCAGGGATGTACAGGATCGCTCGCAGGTAAATCAGAGCAGGGATGGAGCGCCGTGGGCCAGGGTTTGTAATGGTACCTGGGAAACAATCATAGATATCTGTGTTGTCAACAAAAGGAGATGCATCTGGACTTTGAACATGTCACTTTTACTGATCTGCAACACAGAGGGATTATGATGTTGCAAAGGGTGACAGTAAACCAATCATTTGTCCCATTAATGTTTCAACAGTACCCTTAAGCAAGAGGCAGAGGTGGCTCCTTCCTTTATTTCAACAGTTGTACTTTCTGACAGTTAAGCCTTTTGCAAGTCTATATCAGTTTAATATCAAGGATGGCACTTATGTGTGGACTAAAAGGAATGACACTTTTACATTCTTTCCCATCTGATTCCTATACTTTTCGTTGTGTAGCCCAGAAACTGTGTGCCAGAAAAAACAGTTTTTACCTCAATTCTGCTGAATGCAAAACTATGTGAAAGCATTGAGTTCCTGTGATTTCTGCCACTACAATAATGTGGATCTTGTTTCTGATCTATATAGTTAAAGCTCATTTAATTTTAAGGAGGAAAATAAATACAAATTAATTTACCTTGGGCACTGACATAAACAGTAGCACATAGTGACAGGATGATGAGCGCCAGCACAACCATGAGTCCAACCAGAAAGGTGTGGAGAACTCCTCCACCGTTACAATCAAAGTTACCCTTGTGATAGGTGAACAGGATCATGGTGCCAATCCACCTATGGAGAGAATAGCAGCAGAGAATGACAGATAGCAGGGTCAATACATGTTATTATTATGTCTGACTGCTTAGACGTCAGGAGGAGACAACTTACCAAAGTACACGGACGAACAGCTCAAAGGATCCGGGGAAAACCAGGTCATCGCTGGCGATCCCCCACCGCCGACCAAACACCACCATTCCAGGCATTTTGCAGCTATACAAGGCAAAAATATCCCTGTGATGTTAACTGACCTTCTCACAACTCTTTATGTGGGTATGAATCTCTTGAGCAATCCAAGTCATGCATGACACACGCTGATCATCAAGCGTTGCCCTTTGTTGTCACATCATAACGTCACTTTCCCATGTTGCTTAACCAGCCAAAAGTAGAGATATCCGTCAAACGCTCGCTACAAGCTAACGTTAAGATGAGTATTTGAGCAGATGCAGGTGCCCGCTAACGTTAACAATTGTCGTTAACGTCGTCCACTGTAAAATGTTGACGTCGGATACTGTGCTGTGTTTGGCAACCTTACAACATATAGCCCAATAACATTAGATAATGCTACTAATGCGGTTACCGACAGCTAGCAGGACCGTTATCGTTGCGTGACATTAGCTATCGTGCATTAGCTAAAAATACTCTAAAGCTATTACTAGAAAATGATAGCTAGCGTTAATCCCGAATGGCAAACACTACTATTATTTAGCAAGTTATATATCAAGATAATGCCTTATAACTAACGTTCGCAACTAACCCCATAATGGTAAGTAAAACGCATCTAACTATAGAAAGATGGTTTGTTTTGAAAAAGGAATACAAGCCATGTCCGTCCGCTGGTGTCTACCCTATTGCAACAGAGTTCGCCGCACAATAGTTCCGGGATTTTGGTAGAACACTTTTTTGTTTTTTTTCCAAGTTACTAAATTGATTTCGACAGATCGGCATATTTAATATATCTCCCTAAGCAGTCAGAACCAGAACTGTAAACGTTTGACATTTGTCAGCTATAGGTGTAATGAAAATATTCCAAGTAAAAAACGTTTTCCTAATAACTAATAACTGGATAGGAGAACACCGAAAATATCGTGATAGTTCTAATAATTACTGTAGACTACTAGTAACAGTCTTTTCACGTTAGCTTTGCACTTAAGCTTTTTATTCTAAATACTGTGATTAACATAAACTGACTAGTCTGCCTCAAACAACTGTCCTCAAGGTATCGCTCAAAAATAGTCTACTTACGTATATGCTTTTGTACAATTAGTAATTAATAAATACCAATATTCTTATTTACACCCATGAAATTTCGTCACATGTGGTTCTATGGTGTAATGGTTAGCACTCTGGACTCTGAATCCAGCGATCCGAGTTCAAATCTCGGTAGAACCTAACTTTATGATTATTTTCTGTTGAACATAATCCTCAAAGGTGATGGAAACTACTGTGTGTTTCTAGTTTTATAAATCTATACATATAGTTTCTACTCGGCAGCATGCAGTACCTATAAAACTGCACTTTAGCAGCAGCTAGCTCATCCAAGTACATGCATGGCTGACGAATACCAGTTCACTTGCTGTTATGAAGTCAGTCCAACATGGCGGCGCACATAGCACGACGTTGTTGTTATTTTCTCTGTCGTAGTCCAGCAGTTAACAGGATTCCACAACATATAAAACTGAGGGATGTCGTATTAAGAGACATCAACAACACTTTACATTTGCGTGTTGCTTACGGGACTCGACGAGCAGACACCACAGAGGTTAGTTTAATAACACTGTAAGTATGAGGAATTACCTCCCAATTCATGAATCTGTTAATGTAGGCTACTGCATGATAGCCTTATGAAGTCTTTGATAGTTCACTGTAATTGTGTTCTGAAAGCAATAGGCCTACATTTATTTTATTTTTACTTTGGCAGGATTCCCAAGTGCATATTCCAGTGGGTAAATATACTAATATATTTTCACTCAGCAGAATAAGAAAGTGTTTTTTTCTTTTTGTATTTTTCAACAATATATTTCTTCTCAGACCGCCTGAAAGTATCCTACAGCAGAAGCAGTGGGCCTGGTGGTCAGAATGTAAATAAAGGTACTCAAAGTTCTACTTAATTATTTGACAACAAGTGACTCCAGCCACTTAGTACAAGGCCTTGAACCTTTCCTATCATTCACAGTATATTCCTTTGTGTGTTCAAATCTCAATCCACAGTCAGCACAAAGGCTGAGGTCCGATTCCATGTGCTAACAGCAGACTGGATCCCAGAGGATGTTCGACGAAAAATCTTTGAAACGGTTTGTTAGAAAATGCGGTGGAGTTGTTGATCGCAGTTTGACCGTTTTGCAATCTGTTCTATTACTGTAGTTCACAAATAAACTACATGTTATGCATATTACATTTATACCTAAGTGGAAGTATTTTATCCCAAGGGATCATTACATTGTCAACCAAAAACAGTACAATAATATTTGAATGGCCTCTGAAACTCTGCTTTCACCCTGTCACCCTAAACCAGCGTTTCTCAAAGTGTGGGGCGCGCCCCACTGGTGGGGCGCAGAGATGTGATAAGTGGGTCGCGAATGGACGTGATGAACGGGAGATTTAAAAAAAATCTATTTAATTAATTATTTGGACCTCAGGCCGGAATCGAACCTGGGTCCTCGCGGGCGGTAGTGGACTGTTACAGCCGGAGACTCGCAACGGCTGTGGACTTTCACAGCGCCGCTGCGCCGGACCCGCCGGAGCCTCACAACGGCGGGTATTTGCGGCGGCGGGTGCGGTACCGGCGCAGCGGAGCTGTGAAAGTCCACGGCCCACCTATGCCAGAGCCAGCGGCCCACCGAAGGCAGCAGCCCACCGGGAAAAGTCCCGAATCTCCCGATGGCCAATCCGAGCCTGCTCACACACACACAACTGAAACCAAAATAATTTACAGACATATGTAAACATCTCTCATACACACATGTGAATCGCTCTCACACACACACACAACAGCGCTGCAGTCAGGAAGAAAAGCAATGTGGAGCGGCACCTCACCACTTCATAAGGAGTTTAACCGTGACACTTTTCGAAATCACGTTTGTGTCCCCCCACTTTAAAAATAGGTCTATGTTTAGAGAGAGAGAGAGAGAGAGAGAGAGAGAGAGAGAGAGAGAGAGAGAGAGAGAGCACACCTTTATCTATTTAATATAGCCTGGTTGTAAAAAATAAAGTAAGAAATCATTCCAATGTGTACTATAGGAGAGTAAAAAATAAAAAAAACAGTTTAAAGGGGAGTGATTAGTCAAATATGCATACATAGAAAGAAAGAATGCTAACTAGGTAACATAAGATAAGAATAAACCAGTTTAAATGATTTGTTATTGGTTGTGATCATATTCTAAAGATGTTTGGATTATTGAAAAGTCTACAGCTCCCTTTCATCTGAGTGTTGAGAGCTGTTTCCATCAATTCATGTTGTGCTCAAAGTGCTCCAGATTGATGCATTTCACTTCAACATTTAAAAAAACATCTTCACGGGGTTGCATGCCCCCCGACCCCCCTAGTGGAGGGGAGGTCCACCCCCAAATAAAGCAGGTTAAAATAATTAAATTGCATACATGTTCTTTTAGTAAACACAGAAAACGGGTCCCACAGACCCAAACAGCACACAAAGGTTAAAGGTCAGCATATCATCATGTTAAAATGTGCTAAATATATACACTGCAAAAAAACAAAAAAAGAGGAGTAAAAGTAGCTCACGACTTGTTTTATTTTTTGAAAGTAGCCCTCACCCTAAAAGGTTGGAGACCCCTGCTATACATTTGACAATTTTAAGCTTGGCCTACCATTTTATTGGAGCGATGAGGAACAGGTGGGGCTTGAAAAGGCCCACCTGTTCAAAGTGGGGAATGACAGAAAAAGTTTGAGAACCACTGCCCTAAACCAACTGAACACATTTTCTGTGTCGTGGTACAGAACAAAAACCGCATCAATAAGGCTGGGGAGCTGCTGGTGACCTCAGAGCTGAGCAGGAGTCAGAACAGAAACCTCTCTGATTGCATACAGAAGATTTATGCCATCATAGCTGAGGCCAGCGAGAAGCCACATGAACCAACAGCAGAGGACGTAGCTCTCAGGGCAGCCAGGTATTACCCAGCAGTAGAGCAAATCAATGTTGATCCACTTTGCTTACAGTATGTGTGTAGTGTATGTATTCAATGTAAAATATGTTGTGCAGGTTAGCGAGGCGGGACAAGGAGCGACTCAAAGATAAGAAGATCCAATCAGCTACCAAGAAGAGCAGACGAGTGGATTGTGACTAACTGTTATATTTCTACCTCGCTATTGTAAATAATGTCTTGTAATACAATAAGGTAGCTACATTTTTCGTATTAAATGAATGAAGAATTAATGTCCCCAATTTGTGTAGTTCCTGGGCAGAGTAAGACTTGAACACAAACAACACTTTGAAATAAATGATTAGACTTTGTGTCTCTGTTTTAAATTGACATTTCTTAATGTTTTTATATTATTTCAACCAAACATCTTGGGAAAAACATACAATTCAAAGGCACAGACATATAGCACACATTATATTGATAGCTGTTTTTTGACTCTTGTTAAGTCTGTAAGGTTGGCCAGGATATTTTCCATAATTTGGTAATGATTCTATCCACAGGTTGAAGTCATGCTATCATACATGTGGGTTATATAGCTATACCTCGTTTGTTAATTGGTGCCTAGCTGTTTGCTATTTCCTTTTAAAGGGATAATTCAGAGCTGGTAGTTGACTTGATTGTGGTCCAATGGTGCCATCTTGTGGCAGTGCTATGTATAGATGTTCAGTTCCTTCCAGTGCTTTTTATTTAGTTTTATTATTTTCTTTACATTACCACTTACATACACAGAAAGGCTACCTTCAAACGAACGTCGAATGTATTCCCGTAGACCTTGTGACGCCGAACTCAGAAATTAAGTTTTTAACTGGGACTTTTCCAACTGATACACTATTTCAGATGTTTGTGTTGATTTTCTGGAACAGAGGTTTTCTGAGATAAGCCAGCAATCCTCTTTTGTTGTTGGGACGAAAAACTGTTCGAATCTACACTGGGTAGCGGTTTACACCATACATTGTTCACAATCCACGAAAAACCGAAAAAACTAGCAGAGGATGGTTTCGATCCATCGACCTCTGGGTTATGGGCCCAGCACGCTTCCGCTGCGCCACTCTGCTTACACAGCACCGAGCGTACGATCATAACTATAAATACTCACAATGTGTGGTATCATATTTCTTTAATGTATGAATTCTTGTGACGATATTTCTATTTAGTGAAAGTATTTTGGTTTGGAACTGCAAAACAAGATATTTAAATACATGCCTTGGACATTTCATAAAAATTATAAAAAATGAAGCAGCCTTACATACATTGATTCTTTAATCGTGTACTTTCTGACAATTATAGACCAAAATCTTAATGGAGAAATAATCGTAAAATGAATTTTAATAGTATTTGGTTGCAGCCCTTTGAGTGATTACGCTACAAGGCATGGTTTAGTTTTTAGGAAGTGTTTCAGTGTAATATCGTCCCCCTGTGGCAGCAGTGTGTTATATCTACTGAGTTTACATGCACTACAGTTACAATTGTAGTACTCCTTTGGAGTGCAATGTCATAGAATACATTTTGTTAAATGTGATAAGTTATATTTACATATGTATTTATTTGTTTTATTTCATAGCATAACTTGATGTATTAATGGAACTCTGTGGGCTGTCAGAGGATTTTGTGGAAAAGCCTTGTGGCATTTTCAGATTTGTGAAAAAAGTTGTTCAAAGCAGTGTGGATTTGAGTCAAATGCCTTTCACCAAAGAGAAAAGATGATTGGAATGCTATTCTAACAGTTTAGGATTATATCAACTACACTCTGTATTTAGATGGAGATAAACAGACTGCATTACCAGTACCTAAATGATATAAGTTTACACATATGAACATGTTTGATAGACACAGACCTGTGTTCAGTACAGTAAAGGATATCACGGAGCTGGTCTTTCATGGGACCCAGAACTTACAGCTTGGTTGTGAATAATAAGAAAATACTGTTGCTCTTTGTTCCAAAATATGTTTTCTTTTGGTACTGTTATCATTAACCTTATTTTGTGTAATCATTGAACTGAAGCATTTGGAAATGA